CTTCAACACCCATGGCCAGAATATAATTTTCCCCGAATAGATTTTATGATATTTAGAAACTGCAATATCTATGTAAGCTCTGCTACTAATTTGGTTTATGTGGAAAGAGTACTTTCGGAGAAATTACGAATATGGTTGTGCTTGTTTTTCCTGCTCGTCAAAATGACTGACAGGCAACATAGTATGACGAGCATCGCCTTCTTGATTATAAGACCCAAAATACTTTAACGGCGTATTTTATAAACTGGGAGAGTGGCTTTACCATCTATATGAATTTCAGTTGAATTGGTTCACGTGCACCCGAGAACTAGACTCGTTTATTTTTACTTCTTGAGAGTGAATTTTTTGGTCAAAACATAGACCTCAGGCCGACGTGATCAAGTGCGGTTACTATGGCAACGACACACCTGCCGATCCAAATATGGTTGTTTTTGTTTATCCTCCCATATAACCTACCTCCACAAAAAAATGGAAGGGGGGTTAAAAATTTTCATTTCCAACTTTGCTTCACTTTCCTGGAGAATTGCTCTTAAGTACTATGGATTTTTCTTATTTCAGTCTCTAAGTCTTGAAACCAACTAGGATCACGGATTTAATGAATGTCTTCCTGTGTTTGGTAAGCGTTTATCCTCTCAGAATAGGTGAAAGTATACGTTTCTGCTCTGAGCGCGTTCGAAGCAATCAGAAGCAACATCTCAGGACTTGTACTACACGTAATATGTTTTCAAGGTAAAGTCCTCCTTTTTGTGAAGGTGAATTAATCAACATGACACGAGTGTGGGACAAAGAAAAATTCTGAGTCCCCGACAGGAGAGTCCCCCTTTTTGTGGGTTAAACTGGTGATTCTTAAGAATTCTGTTTGTACTGATGTTCATTGTCGCCGCAAATTTAGTAATTATCATAACCTGTGTGAACATATTTCTTGTGCATAGTATGATGTGACATTACTTTAAAAAAAATAGCTCTACGTAAAGTTTGAAAGTAACTAAAACTTAAATGATGGTTGCAATATCCTTCCCAAGACCTCTCCCTTCTCTCTTCAACAATGGCATATTGAGATATTCCATTTTCACCTGCACAAACTCCCCCTCCCCTATAGAGGAAAGCTCTTCTCCAGTGCCTTTGGGAAATTTCTTCATAGGATCCAACAAAATTTCGAGCCCTTCTAAGGTGTCATATATTTATACAAAATTAAATAAACGAGAAACAAAATTTGCTTTGACTTCTTTTAAAAGGGGATTCGGACACTCACACTTAAAGATCGTAAAAAACATCGACAATTTATTTTGTTACAAAATTCTTGGCGTAGTTTGATAGCCAGCTCTATAAATTTTAATTTGATATATGGTTTTAGGTATCTACAGTTTAAACAAGACGTGCTGCATCGCTTGGATGCGAGATACTTCTAAAGGTATCCGGTAACCTTAATGGATATAACTAAATTCAAAAATTCTTCATGGCTGCCAAATTGAAGTCGGCCTAGCCTGCACCTTCATCCAATTTTGGCAGTCTTTGAATTTTTTTTCATCTCATTATTTCCCAATTGGACATCAGCTGCTCCTGTTAAATATTCTGAACTAATGTAATTTCAGGGTCTTAGATTACTTTCCTCTCGCATTTGATTCAAATGGTATTTCACACATTCACATTATGTAGATGAGTACTATAATAACATAAAAAGATATACAAATGTACTAACGGTTTTCCAATCCCCCTAATCTCGTTCTGGCCAATTCCCTGATTTCTTGTGGGCTTCGTCCATTAGAGATCTGAAAACAAGATTACAAATCCCCCGTATAATTACCTCTCGGTTCTTACGCAGTCTCAAGTGCCCTTTCAATCAATTACAATAAAAAATTTAATCCATTTAAAGCCAATATGAGTTTTTGAGTCATTAGCAAGAATGAACTTGGGTCGTTTGTTTATACAGCACTACGAACCCTAGCCGTGACAAGAAAAGTAAAAATCCCCCTGAATAGTGGAGATTTCAGTCTAATGGAATGCCATCCACGTTCTTAGCCACGTTTTTCTGTAGTGATCTCGCAAAGGCGGTAATACAAACATCAAACACTCTTTGGATTAAATTTTTTAAGGCGCCAATGCTACCTCCTTGTTGATCTTTGTCTTCCATAGTTTGTTGCACCATCGCTGATTGAGCTTCACACTGCAATATACCAAGCAGACGGTGCACCATGTCTAATTCACTGCTGGTCCGAGCTCTGAACCAGGAGTGCAAGAGGAGATCAAATAATGCACTGGCGTTGGGATGGGTCAGGTCAAGATATTTCTCTCCCATTTCCCTGAGGTCTTCCACTGACGAAATCTTGAAACTGTTGGCAACTTTGTACATTAATTGTATAAAATTATCACTTGGCAACATGTGGCGTAGGTGGGAAGGACTTTCAACAGCAGGGTCAAATATTCTGTCGAAGAAAGCTTCAAATGTTTCACCGTTCTTTCCCCCCCAGAAGTTGTCTTGCTTTAAATGGTGCATTAATAGTTCAAGTCCACCCTGGATTGCGACAAGAACGCGGTGCCTTATATCTGATTCAGTGCTGATCCAAATCCAGTAGTAGGCTCTTTTGTGCCAGAGGATGTTAAACAATCCAGGAAGCGCTCCAACAGGGATGTTGTATTTCCTTACAAGCCCCACGAGATCCTTTATTAAGGACATTTCTAAAGGGTTCATAGCTGCAACCTTGTGGTTACCCTCGTGGCAAGCTATTTGGATCAATTCCTCGGTGACAACCTGATAAACATCCTTCAGATCATGGTACCGATGACTTCCAGCTGAGGAGCTTTCTCGAGTCGCTTTCGTTGGCAGTAAAGGAACTGCTTCATTTTCTCTCTTGTGTTGGATGGCACAACTATCCTTGGATGAACTTCCTCCCAGTGTGTCATTTCCTTGTCCTGTGGCAGGTTTTGAAGACGTAGATCGCTCGCCTTCCCGAATTCTTTTCTGGGAAACGCGTTGTTCTTTTGTATCTCCCCTTTTTTCTCCTCGGTTCTGAATCAACTGCTTATAAAATCGCATTGGGTTTTCTAAGATTTCCTCAACTTTCATTGCTAGGAATTCAAGAATCTGAGGGTTTTCGATGTAATCTACACCAAACAGATTGTACGACCTCACAAAGAAATGTCGTAGATCTCTCTTCGTAAGAGCTGTCAAAAGGTTTCGGAGGAGTACCATCATGCACTCGGCTCTATTACTGTCGGTCCACTTCTCCACACCGGTTTCTTCGATTGTCAGCAAAAGAATGTTTTTCAGATGGAATGAGACCAAACTCTTCGGCTGAGTGCAAAGATAAGCGCGGTGGATTTTCTTCATGCAAACGTAACAGTCACGCTGGATGTCGTTCATCTCTTGGCTTAGCAGGTATTCTGCATGAGAAAAGGATATCCTGAAGTCTCGATCTGGATTGCCATTTAACTTTGCCGACTTAGCTACCAAGTGGTACCCCTCACTAATAACCTTGCTGACAATGTCGGGGGAAGGCCATTTGCGCTCTCTGTTTATCCATTCTCTCGCAACGTTTGGCCAGCTGTGAGATCTAAAGGCAGGGATTAAATCGATCCCGTTTTCAACTCGCTCAGTGTCCAAAAATTGTGTTTCCAGTGTTTTATTTCGTTGGCCAGCCTGCATTAGCTCAGCCCATCTGGACAATCTTCTTTTAAGCTCATTCGTTTCATTTTGACCCTTTGCCTTTTTCTCTTTACCATTATCCCAAGCGAACTCTTCTTTTTTAACTTGTGATTGTCGATCTGTGTTTGATTTTCCGATATCCTCGTTGCAGTCCAAGTGCTCTTTCTTTTCTATTTTGCCTTCCAAATCATCACCTGCACCTCTTTGCTTACCAGTCGATATTGAATTTTTTGTAAAATGATGAAAATTATTCGCAGAATATGAATTCATCATTGATGGTTTTGAGGTGAATTCGAAGACTGTGGGATACCTGTGATCAGCATATGTATCACAACTTTGTGATTGAACTGTGACACATGAATCGCCATTGGAAGTTAACGTCATTCGCGGGCAATTTTCCGCATTTTGGGGGCTTCCACTTCCGTCACCCTTTTCAGGCGTGACTCTTTTGGGATCATCGTTATGTAAAGTTTTGTTATTTGACCGACTTACGATTTCTTTAATTTGGGTGAGACACTTTTGCAATCTTTTCCAAACGTCTGAAACAAAAACTAAAAAAGGAATATCTTTATCCGCATTTTCCGTGGCTACCGATAGTGACAAATACTCGTTGACAATTTCAGCGTGTTCTCTGGTGTAGTCAATTCCGTTGAAAAAAAACAAGAAATGAATAATACATTCCATTTCAGCTGCTGCTCCGTTGATAAAGACACTGTGTGAGTCGACTTTTAACAGCTCCGTGTATTTGGAAATGGTTCCCAACAAGTGAGACATAGTAAGTGTTATAGCTGGGCTGTTTGCGGTTTGCTTCTTCAGGTGGGCGGTCACACGGAGTGGAAAACCATCCATTGAGGTTAGCCGGGAGATATCGGAAACGCAGTCGACTAGAAAGGGAACAGACGACCCAAAAATTGCTTGAGAAAAATTCTTTAAGGCTGAAGTGGCCACGTACTCTGTATTTTCTACGAGGCACGACTGTAACACGGGATGATCGCTGCCTTTGATTCTCACATGCAGGGGATTTTCGAGTGAATATTCAAGCCGTTCCTCGCAAATCATCAAGCTATCTGAATGTGGAAAGATCATAAGATCAATGTCTCCAGCATCGAAGGGAGAGTAGAACTGCAGATCTTCAGCTGAGCTTCCATAAGCCCGTAACATGATGTGATCGTGATCGATTTCGCTATTGTTTGACTCGGTAAATAACTGCCGTGGTAAAAGAAAATCGCTAGTAAAATGCTCGTTGTACTTCTTAAATATTTCACCGTCCTTTCCTCTCTCTGCCAGAGACTTAAGGATAAAGTTTAATTCCTCGTCCGGTTTCACACCTCCAGTCAGAGCCATTTTATAATGCGAAGTGTTGGTCAACTGCGGATTCAAGTTTTTATAGCCTTTAAGCATTGAAGCTTTTGTTCGACACGCACATGAATTTCGCTTTTTGAGGCTATTTTCGTGCTATCATTATACTCAACCATCACGAGATACGCACTGTTGTAAACTGAAAAGTAGTTGTTGATTCATTTCGTGATATATTCGAATTGTTACGACACGCTTAGGCCGCCGTTTTTTCTTTCATTTTGCTATTTTTCCAGAGTGCGTCAAAAAGGAAAATAGCTTTTTGCCTCATTTCGAAACTGGGAGTCAATCCGCCAAAGAAACATCATCAGTTAACTATATTTATACCGGGAAGTTTTTGGTTCAATACTTTTAGCCCTTACCGTACATTCCGTCGAAATTGTTATTTATTCGAGCAGAGCTAGGTGTTTAAGTCAGTTTCAAAGAAGAGGAGTAAAGATATTATATGGATATTAGATATAACAAGACGTGGAAGACTTTCAGTACAAAATTAGTCACGCCACAAAATGTTAAACTAAAGACATGTTAAATCTCGTAGTTATAGTTATCTTTTCCGTAGTACGATATTTCTTAGTATAAATTGATTTCACCACTTTGGCGTGTTTTTGTTTTGCTGTTTTTTTGTTTAATTTTTGGCAAGATAATAAAGCAAGTTTAGAGCAATTTGTCACCGTACTTATAAAACACGACCTTTCTATTGGGAAACTGTTCCTAACTACTTATCAACCGAGAGTGACGTCTTAAAGGAAAAAACTCAAACAAAGTTCATGCCACATAACCGAACGATAGCAAGATAAGGCCGAAATCTGAGATTTTCCTATAAAGACCGAACGTTCGAGGTTAACAAGTGATTTATTGCATGGCTCTTTGCTTTGGTTTTAGGCCCTTAACCGGCCTATCGGCATTACTGGAGAAGCACAAGCCATATAATAATATAATTAATCAACTTTTGTTATTGGTCGCAATCATGATTTCGCTCGCACGACATAATCTTCAGATCACTGGTTGAGTGTTCGCCAAGTATTTACTCATCCAGAAGCAAATAAAAACATTACTAAATCTCATGACACGCCATATATCATTTTTCACTCTCGGAAACTGAAATACAGTGTAAGCAGAGTTCTACTTTATGGTTTCACTGCGTAACAGCTAAATTCAATACAAAACAGTCCCTTTTAATGTGTCACGTTTTTGTCAATCATAAAAAATGGTCATTGTACCAAATGGATACCAGAAATGGGAAGGACCTGATGAAATAAGTCAGATTTCCCATTTTGATCGTAAGACAGTTCGATGCTTCGAACATTTTAACCGATTTCTGTGCTGGAAGGCCAAGATTGCCATCCAATAAATCCAGAAGCGTTTTTCTTTTAAAAGTCTTGTTAATTTTTTAGGCGTTTAGATAACCGTAACATCTCGCACTAACGTCAGAGCTCTCAAAATTGGACATCTTTGCTTAGTTCATCAGGTTGTTTCCATGTTTGGTATCAATAGGCCATGCACGTTCGATATATCAATATTCTAACAAGGCTCTGAGGGTTTTGGGTCAAAATTGTAATTTTTTTAACTTTCCTTTGTCTCTCAATTCCCAGAGAGACTTTGGATACAAAGAAAACAACACCAAATGTGTAAGTTTGTCCCGTCATGTCATATATCGAACGTGGCCTATTTCCTACCACGACCATTTTTTCAATGATTAGCAAGATCAGAAACGTGACATAATCCCGGGGGGAGACTCCCATATAGTAAGTACGGGGGTGCTCATCGTACCTTTTTGGCACTTCTTTGGGTGTTCCGCCTCAAAAGGTCTACAGTAGGAGCTTTTGAAATACCTTTTCGAGTATGGAGCCGAAAAAATATGAGAGAAGATCAAATGTTCTTTTAGAATTGGTACCTCTAAGTGGTGAAAAAAAAATTCACGCCACTCCCGCAAAGCAGGATCTCGGTACCTTGGAGGGGATGTTTTCAAAATTTCCGACGA